TTTCTTATTCCTACTGATCCTCAGGCCACCCTTCACTTCCTCTTGACAGTCAGTATGATGGTGATCCATGCCTTACCCCATCCATTTCTCCTCAGTATTTCCAGTTAGTCCATCCTACATCCCTGTTCATAGAGCAGCACTGACAGCTTCAGTATTCTATTTCTGTCCCTGCCAGAAGGAAGCAGGGGGTGGGCTAGTGGGACAGTGTTTACAATGTCTACAGTAGCATACAGTAACGTCCTAGGCCTTCACACTAACTCACCACTCATTCACTGACTCACCCAGGGCAACTTCTAGGCTTGCAAGCTCTATTGATTGTAAGTGCCCTATACTGGTACAAATTTTAAATCTTTTTTGACTGTACCTTTTTCATGTTTACATATAGAAATACTTACCATTATGTTACAATTGCCTACAGTATTCAGTACAGTAACATGTTGTACAGATTTGTAGCTTCGCTTAGGAACAATAGGCTATCACAGATAGGCTAGCTGGGTAGTAGACCATATACTAGGTTTGTGTAAGTGCAATCTATGATGATTGCACAACAATGAAATGACCGAATAATGCATTTCTCAGAGTGTATCACTGTTGTTAAGTGACATATACTGTGAGAGAATTGCATGCGGATCACTGAATATAAGGTGCTGAGCAGCTCTGCATTGTCAAGGAACAGAAAAAATGGGAAGCCCCATACCCAGAACGCTAGCACTGAAACCTACTGCCCCGTAGTCCATTCCACATTTCCTCTACAAGATCTGAAAATGAACTGTCAAACAACGACATGACAGGCAGACAGGATAAAGGCTTTCAAAATAAAATATTAGTGGTGTGAAGCCAGAGTTGATTAACAGCTGGCCTGGGAAAGCTCACTCTTTCTATCTTGGGACTCCTGAGTGTCTCTGACTCGTGGAAAGTGATGTGATGTTTAAGTCTGAAACTTCCCTGGTAACTCACAGGATTAGTTTCGTTACAGCTAGTTTGCAACAGGCCCAGCCCATTTGACAAGTGTGGCTTGGTTATTTAAAGGGATGCTCAGAATTCTTTTTGAGGAGAACTCGTTACGTCAAGATTTTTTCACACAAATCATGGTGGTTAAGACTCAGCATGGTCTATGCATGTGTGAAAGAAACAAAACAAAAACCACTCATCGTGGAATGTCTCTTCAATCTCTGATACCTGCCTATATTCTCTGTGTCTCACTTTGCTGCATCAAAGCCTATGTGAGTATACTTTGTGGAGATTGAAGAGAATTTAAAAATATCAGAACTGGAGTAAAAAATACAAGTAAGCATACATACAGAAATGACCAACTATTTGAGGAAAACCAATATAATGACTAAGCATAATTGATATTTTCAAAGATATGATATAGGAAGAATATAAATAATTAAGTTATCCATGTAAAATTTTTAAGCTTAACAGCTAAAAGTAAAACAAAACTATTATCTATAATAATAAAATCATAATATGCAAATCGATCGAACGACCAAACAGCAGAACGACCTTTCAGATGACCTTCCGGAAAGCACGTTATGACACGCACTGGTGCCAGGCCAGCCAAGACAGGTGTGATGTGATTGGTTGGGGGCCCCGCCATCATCAAATGATAGCCCCACAAACGGAGGCCCAGGCCACCCGGCTGGTGGCACTGCAGTGGGACCTCCCTCTGCGGGGTGATCAATCTAGGGGCCTCCCTCTGCGGGGTGATCAATCTAGGGGCTCCCACAATCGATCGTCCCGCTGAGGGAGGCCCAGGCCACTGGCCAGCGATGCTCTAGCGAGTGTGTGGGGCCGGCCAGAGATTTCCCTGCAGAGGGAGGCCCAGGCCAGCCAAGCTATCACACCCTACACCTGTCACCCACAGAGGGAGGTGACTGGTGGCAGGGGAGGGGGGCAGCACTGCACAGATGGCAAGCAGTAGCAGTGGTAGGGGCGGGGCCAGCTGCCAGCAGCTGGGGGAAGAAAAGCCCAGATAGGCCCTGATTACTGGCCAAGCCTAGGGACCCTACCCGAGAGGTCTCGGATTGCGAGAGGGTGCAAGCCAGGCTGTGGGATACCCCCCGCCCCCCGCCCATGCAGGAATATTGTGCACCAGGCCTCTAGTTAATAATAACCTCAACAGATCAATGATTTTCTATACAAAATATTTCTGAATAGTGAATTAAATGACTATGAAATTCAATGTAGAAATTATTGTTAACTAATAAGGAGTTAAAATGATAAGAGTTGGCACTTGGTGAATAGAGCCAAAATGTTTCAACAACTATCTACTAAAAGAAGAGAACCAGAAGTAGAGAATAGATTTCATAGTAGGCAAATTTCAAGCAAGGATGACCTGACTAAAGAAAACAATTGGATATTCCCACATTTTTCTTTTTTAAAATGCTTTATAAAAATATCAGAAAAATAAATTTCTGATCTTCTCATTTCAAAGAGGATCAGAAAATAATTCACGTTTCAAAATGGAAATCTATTCAGTTAATATTCACCAAATATATATATATATATATATATATATATATATATATATATATATATACTTTTTACTATGCCTTTTCTATAGTTAAATATAGAATACCATTGTGTTACAATAGCACATATAAATGCATTATGTCATATATTTCATACAAACACAATTTATCTTGTCCTTTACATTTACAATAATATGTTTGCCCCCCCCCCTTTTTTTGCCTCGTCTTTGCCCTTTTAACGTTTATCTCATCTTAGTCCCAAAAAATGTGTCAAAAGCTATAAGTTGACTTTTTCTAATCACCTCAGGAAACAAGAAATGGAACAGCAAATTAAATTCAAAGTAAACATAATAGGAGAAATAAAAACTAGAGTATCCTATCTAATAAAGACAGGATATGCAAATTGACCATCACACCCTCACAAAGATGGTGGCACCCATAGCCATAAGATGGTGGCACCCAGTCCCCTCAGCCCCACTGGAGTCCCCCAGTCCTTTCAGCCATGCCAGGGTGGCAGGCCCTTGGTGTGGCCAGACCTGCCCTCAGCCCTCCAGCCACCCAGGACCGGCCTGAGACACAGGCAAGCCTCAGATAGCAGCTGCCCAGCCGTCCAAGGCTGCCTGAAGCTCAGGTAACCAGGGTGGGCCAAGGCTTGCACTGTCAGCAGTGGCAGCAGCAGGGGTGTTATGGGGTGTCGCCTTCCCCTGATGGCCAAGTTGCCCCCCACTCCTGAGGGCTCATGGACTGTGAGTAGGCCAGGCTGAGGGACCCCCTTCCCCTGCAGTGCATGGATTTTCATGCACTGGGCCTCTAGTAAAACAATAAAATTGAAAACTGAAAATCAGTACAGAAAATCAACAAAACCAAAATCTAGCTATTTGAAAAGATCAATAAAATCAATTAGCATCTAATTAAGCTAATGAAGAAAAAAAAGAGTGGATGCAAATTACTAATATCAGAAATCAAAGAGGGGATATCTCTACAGATGCCATGGAAGTGAAAAGTCTGATAAAGAAATACTATGAACAACTATATGACTAGAAATTTAATAACCTAGATGAGTGGATCAATTCTTTAAAGATACAACCTTCCCAAACTCACACAAGAAGAAATAGATAATGTTAATATGTTTATATCTATTAATGAAATTCTATCGCCATGACTGGTTATGCTCAGTAGTTAAAGCATCAACCTGTGGACCAAAGTGTCATGGGTTCAATTCCTGGTCAAGAGCACATACCTTAGTTGTAGGCTTCATCCCTGGGCCCAGTCAGGGTTCAATTGTGTTTCTCTCACATCAATTTTTCTCTCTCTCTCTGTTTACCCCATGCTCCCTCCCCTTCACTCTCTCTCTCTCTCTCTCTCTCTCAAAAAAAAAATATATATATATATATATCCCCTCAGGTGAGGATTAAATATATATATATATATATATATATATATATATATATATATATATCAATAATTAATCACTTACCAAAACAAAAAGACAAAAAGCACCAGGCCCAGATGTGTTTACTAAATTTTACCAGACGTTTAAGGAAGAAATCATACCAACTCTCTATAATCTGTTTGAGAGGATATAAGCAGAGTGAATATTTCCTATTTCTTTATATGAAACCAGACAAAGACATTATAAAAACAACAAAAACTGAAGACCTATATGTCTCATGAACATAGATGCTAAAATCCTCAATAAAATATTTGCAAATCAAAATAAAAAATGATTAAAATAAGCAACTAACATACCATGACCAAATGGGGTTTTTCCTAGCTTAGTTATGCAAAGCTGGTTTAACATTTGAAAATTAATAAATGAAATTTATTATCACAATGGACTAAAAATGAAAAACCACATTATCACATCAATAGAAGCAGAAAAAGCATTTGACACAATCCAACATCCTTTCATGATAAAAACTATCAGTAAATCAAGAGTAAAAGAAATTTCTCAACTTAATAAATACTATTTATTTTGAAAACCTCATGTTTAATGGTGAGAAAGTTAAAGCTTTCCCACCAAGATTAAGTAGCAAGGATGACCTCTTTCATCACTCTTTTCAACAATATAGAGAGAAAGGAAAGGAAAGGAAAGGAAAGGAAAGGAAAGGAAAGGAAAGGAAAGGAAAGGAAAGGAAAGGAAAGGAAAGGAAAGGAAAGGAAAGGAAAGGAAAGGAAAGGAAAGGAAAGGAAAGGAAAGGAAAACATATTGGGAAGCAATATATAAAATTGTCTTTGGCTCCCAGATAATATGATTGTTTATGTAGAAAATCCAAAAGAATCAACAAAGATCATTCTGAAACTAATAAGTGACTGTAACAAGTTTGCAGGATACAAGCTTAATATACAATAGTTAGTTTCCTCTATACTATAATGAACAAATGGAATTTGAATTTAAAAACACAACACCATTTACATTAGCACCCCCAAAATATTTAGGTGTAGGATGCTACCCAACTTCAAGACTTTCTATAAAGCTACGGTTATCAAGACAATGTGGTATTGGTAAATGAATAGACAAATTGCAAGCTTCATTCTGTGGCAGATGATCAAAACTGTCTGACACAATTTTAGCTTGCTATAGCAACAGAGTCTAACCTATTTCAGTGTTCTCTCCTATGAGACAAGAAGGAGAAGGAGAAGGAGAAGGAGAAGGAGAAGGAGAAGGAGAAGGAGAAGGAGAAGGAGAAGGAGAAGGAGAAGGAGAAGGAGAAGGAGAAGGAGAAGGAGAAGGAGAAGGAGAAGGAGAAGGAGAAGGAGAAGGAGAAGGAGAAGGAGGAGAAGGAGGAGGAGGAGGAGGAGGAGGAGGAGGAGGAGGAGGAGGAGGAGGAGGAGGAGGAGGAAGAGGAGAAGGGATTAAGAGAAGGAGAAGGAGAAAATATTTTAATGGAACAAATTAGAGAGCCAAGAAATAGTACCCCTATAAATATAATCAAGTAATTTTTGGCAAATAAGTAAAGGCAATGCAATGCAGCAAAGACAGTCTCTTCAACAAATAGTGCTGGAACAAGAGAACATCCACATGTAAAATTAAATCTAGATAAAGATCTCATACTTTTCACAGAAATTAACTCAAAATGGATGATAGACATATAAATATAGAACTCCTAGAAGATAAGACAAAACCTAGATGACTTTAGATATGATGATGCTCATATACAACACCAAAGACATGATACATAAAATAACTAATTGGCAAACTGGATTTCATTAAAATTAGAAAACGTCTGCTCTGTAATAGATAACATAAAGAGAATTTGGAGACAAGCCACAGACTTGGAGAAAATATTTATAAAAGGCACATCTGATAAAGAACTGTTACCTAAAATATAAAAAGAACTCTTTAAACTGAACAAGAAAATAAACAATCCTATTAAAAATTTGGTTAAAGAACTAGTCTCTTCAATAAATGGTGTTGGGAAAATTGGACAGATATATGCAAGAAAATGAAACTAGACCACCAACTTACACCATACACAAAAATAAACTCAAAATGGATAAAGGACTTAAATGTACGACAGGAAACCATAAAAATTCTAGAAGAATCCAAAGGCAACAAAATCTCAGACATATGCCGAAGCAATTTCTTCACTGATACAGCTCCTAGGGCACTTGAAACGAAAGAGAAAATGAACAAATGGGACTACATCAAAATAAAAAGCTTCTGCACAGCAAAAGAAACCATCAACAAAACAACGAGAAAACCCATTGTGTGGGAAAACATATTTGCCAATGTCATATCTGATAAGGGCCTAATCTCCAAAATTTATAGGGAACTCATACAACTTAACAAAAGGAAGATAAACAATCCAATCAAAAAATGGGCAAAGGACCTAAATAGACACCTTTCAAAAGAGGACATTCAGAAAGCCAAGAGACATATGAAAACATGCTCAAAGTCACTAATCATCCGAGAGATGCAAATCAAAACAACAATGAGGTACCATCTCACACCTGTCAGACTGGCTATCATCAACAAATCAACAAACGACAAGTGCTGGAGAGGATGTGGAGAAAAAGGAACACTTGTGCACTGCTGGTGGGAATGCAGACTGGTGCAGCCACTATGGAAGACAGTATGGAGTTTCCTTAAAAAACTGAAAATGGAACTCCCATTTGACCCTGTGATCCCACTTCTAGGAATATATCCCAAGAAACCAGAAACACCAATCAGAAAGGATATATGCACCCCTATGTTCATAGCAGCACAATTCACCATAGCTAAGAGCTGGAAACAGCCTAAGTGCCCATCAGTAGATGAATGGATTAGAAAACTGTGGTACATCTACACGATGGAATACTATGCTGCTCTAAAAAGGAAGGAACTCTTACCATTTGCAACGTCATGGATGGAACTGGAGAGCATTATGCTAAGTGAAATAAGCGAGTCAATGAAGGAAAAATACCACATGATCTCACTCATTCATGGATAATAGAGACCATTATAAACTTTTGAACAATAATAGATATAGAGGCAGAGCTGCCTCAAACAGATTGTCAAACTGCAGCAGGAAGGCCGGGGAGGGTTGGGGGGCAGGAGGTAGGGGGGTAAGAGATCAACTAAAGGACTTGTATGCATGCATATAAGCATAACCAGTGGACATAAGACATTGGGGGATAGGGGAGGCTAGGGGACTGTCTAGGGCGGGGGGATAAAATGGACACATATGTAATACCCTTTGTAATACTTTAAGCAATAAAAAAAAAAAAGAAAAAAAAAAGATTTGACTAGAGACCACCATCCTAGCAGAACAGGTATATGCTATAACTTATGGGTACATACATACATAGAAATATGAAAACTTGGAGGAAGGAAACACACCAACTTCCAGATAGTGGCTGCCTCTGAAGAAGTGGAGTGGGCCGGAATGGGGTGTGAAGAAACAACAGTTTTTATTACCTTTTATTTCTTTAAAACAACAAAAAATATAAAGCAAACATGTCAAATCACAAACATTCGTTAAAATAAAATTAGTCTCTTTTTTTTTCTTTCAAAAAAAAAAAAATTTGGTTAAAGAACTGAGCAGACATCTCACCAAAAACAATATGTAGATGTCACATAGGCATAGAAAAAGATTCTCTACATCATATTTTTATCAAAGACATGCAAATCAAAGCTATAATGAGATACTACTATATGTCTACTAGAAAGTCTCAAATCCAGAACACTGAGAATACTTAACCCTGGTGAGGATGTGGAGCAACAGGAACTCTCATACATTGCTGGTGGGAATGCAAAACACTTCTGTAGTTTCTTACAAAGCTAAACATAGTCTTATCATACATCCAATAATTGTGTTCTTTAGTATTCCAAAGGACTTAAAAACATATGTCTCATTAAATTCTTCACACACATTTATATTAGCTTTACTTATAATTACAATTTTTTTAAAACAACCAAGATGCCTTTCAGAAGGTGAATAATTACATAAAATGTGATACATAAAGACAATGGAATATTCTCCAGGACTAAGAAGAAAAAGCACATGGAGGAAGCTTGAATACATGTTCCTAAGTGAAAAGGCCGATATGAAAGTCCACATACTGTATGATTCCAATTATTTGACATTCTGGAAAAATAAAAACTATGGAAACAGCAGTGAAAACACTCTGTATAATATTATAATAGTGGATGTATGCCATTATACATTTTTTCATATCCATAGAATGTACATCAAGATTGAACCCTAAGGTTAACTATGGATTTGGGGTGATTATCATGTGTCACTGTAGTGAAAATTTGACAATTCTGGTAAATGCTGTTGATAGATGGGAAGGCTAAGCATGTGTGGGGACAGGAAATTTTTGTACTTCGTCTCAATGTTGCTGTAAACCTAAAACTACTCTTCTAAAAAAAAGATGTTATAAAAAAAAGTATAAATAAGGAAAACCACAATTTTATTTTTTCTTTTCTTTTCTTTTCTTTTCTTTTCTTTTCTTTTCTTTTCTTTTCTTTTCTTTTCTTTTCTTTATTGACTAAGGTATTAGATATGTGTCCTTATTCCCCCATTGCCCCCTCACCCCCCAGTCATGCCCTCATCCCCGTGGTGTCTGTGGCCATTGGTTAGGCTTATATGCATGCATAAAAGTCCTTTGGTTGACCTCTCCCCCTTACCCCCACTTTCCCCTACCTTCCCTCTGAGGTTTGACAGTCTGATCAATGCTTCTCTGTCTCTGGATCTGTTTTTTTTGTGTGTTTTTTTCATCAGTTTATGTTGTTCACTATATTCCACAAATGAGTGAGATCATGTGATATTTATCTTTCTCTGACTGGCTTATTTCACTTAGCATAATGCTCTCTAGTTCCATCCATGCTGTTGCAAATGGTAAGAAATCCTTCTTTTTTACCACAGTGTAGTATTCCATTGTGTAGATATATCAGTTTTTTAATCCACTCATCTGCTAATGGGCACTTAGGCTGTTCATCAAAATAAAAAGCTTCTGTACAGCAAAGAAACCATCAACAAAATAACAAGAAAGCCCACTGCATGGGAGGACATATTTGCCAATCTTATCACCGATAAGGGTTTAATCTCCAACATTTACAGAGAACTCATACAACTTAACAAAAGGAAGATAAACAACCCAATCAAAAAATGGGCAAAGGACCTAAATAGATACTTTTCAAAAGAGGACATAAGGAAGGGCAAGAGACATATGAAAACATGCTTAAAGTCACTAATCATCAGAAAGATGCAAATCAAAACGACAATGAGGTACCATCTCACACCTGTCAGAATGGCCATCATCAACAAATCAACAAAGGACAAGTGCTGGCGAGGATGCAGAGAAAAAGGAACCCTGGTGCACAGCTTGTGGGAATGCAAACTGGTGCAGCCACTGTGGAGAACAGTATGGAGTTTTCTCAAAAAACTAAAAATGGAACTCCCATTTGACCCAGTGATCCCACTTCTAGGAATATATCCCAAGAAACTAGAAACACCAATCAGAAAAGATATATGAACCCATAAGATCATTGCAGCACAATTTACCATAGCTAAGATTTGGAAACATTTTTTTTTTTTTTTTTTTTGCACAAAAACACAAATTTGAAAACATTATTAGCTCAACTAACCAACTGAAGAAAAAATAGGGTATAACTGATCTCAGGGAAAAATGAATCTAAAGAATCATGTCTCTTTAGCATTTTAATAAGCTTACTTTCCCTTCCTTACATTCTAGCATACTGACTCCAAGTATTCAGAACGTAACTCTTAGAAAATGGTTTGATAGACCCAGCTTGATACATGATCCCATAATAAAAATAATTGTTATGGCTACAGGCTGAAAACCTATGGTTTGTTTAACTGGGTCACATAATCATTCCTGTGGCCAAGGAGAAATAGCACTGTGACCAAACATCTCCATCAGAACGATATGATTTAAATGAGAAAGGAAGTATCTCCTTAAATAAAATGGTGGAGGGAGGATTTGGGGTGGTAAAATGATAAAGGCAAATGACATTCCATTTTATTAGTATCTTTTCCACTAATATTGCATTCTGGGTAATGTGGGTCAGCCTGATACTTCCCCAAGCTTATTTCTGTCTACAAATTACTTAGCAGAAATAATTAAGATTTGATTTTTTTGATATTGCTTTTATATCACTTTCTGCTCTACTGCATATTTCCCTGTCTTTTCATATGCTG